CCAGGACCGACGGGGAGAGACTCCGGCAGCGCGCAGGACGCGACGCCTGGCCCGAGTTCCCCGACAGATGGAGAGGCGGCGGAGAGGGGCTTAGAGTTGGTGAGAGAGAGAGGCCGTGAGGTCAGCAGAGGACGGACGGACGGAGTGAAAGGGGACAGGAGAGGGGCCTGCGAGTCCCCAAGGCAGAGACCCCGGGACGGCGCGCCCATGCCGAGAGAGAGAGAGAGAGAGAGAGAGAGCGGGAGGGCGCTGAGACCGACCGTCCAGGAGGGAGGCAGAAGAGGCCGCGGCTAGAGGCGCCCGCGAAAGGCCCCGCGGACACCGGGAACGAGGCGGAAGGTCCGGGAGACAGACGCCCGGAGACCGCGAGAGGCGGTGCGATGTGTCCGAGGGGGAGCCGGGGACCGAGGCCGAGCGCCGGGGAGGCGCAGGCGGGATGCAGCGACCGGCGCGCTCAATGCGCCGGAGGAGCCGGACCTGGGCGTCGGGGCGGGGGCAGGGGGCTGGGCCGGGGGTGCGGAAGCCAAAACGGGCTCAGCGCCCTGCCCGCCGGCTCTGCGCCTCCGGGGCCAACCCTGCGCCCACCCGCCTGGAGCCCAGAAAGCGAGCCCAGCGCCGGGGAGCCGGGGAGGACTCCGTGGGCGCCCAGGCTCACTGGGGAGGGCGGCCGGGACAACAGCGTCTGACGCAGGTGGGAGCGGGGAGCCCTTTGAGAGTTTGGTGACAGCTCTGGGTTCTCTCGACAGAAACAGGCACACGTGTGCGTTTTGCCCACAAAGTCAGGGGACACGGGACCCCAGGTCACAGGCCTGCCCCTGCCCCACGAAGTCTCTCAGAGCTCCTCCCCGATTCTTCCTGAGCCTGCTCCCGCCCCCCAGGCCAGCCCCTGAGGGAATGGGTGTGGAACCCCAGAAAGGAGCGCCCTGTAGCCCCGCCCTGGCCACAATAACCCGCTTTGTGCGGCGGGAAAACCAGCCCCGGGCCGGAGTCTCAGCAGACGCACACCCCAGCTCAGTCCTGGGGTCTCAGTCCCCGGGCGAGTTCCGGAGCCCCCCTGCCACCCCTTCCCTCTCCAAACCCCGAAATCAGTCCAAACGGAGGTGTCTGGGGGCTCGGCTCGGCTCGGAGATGGTTTACGCAACAGCTAAACCGCTCGCCAATTACTTTTTAAAAGAAGCACCCATCTCTTCTCCCCGAAACTGAAGCGAAAGCTTGGAAGGCGAATTCGGGGTCCCTAAGGAACAGGAATGGGGAGCGGCAGGGGCCCCGCTGCGAGCGGGCCGGCCTGCGAGGGCCAGGGCCCGCTGCCGGTCGCCGCCGCCAGGATCTCCCGGCGCGGATTAGGTGGGCTGCCTCGCTGGGGCTCGGGGGTCCGGCACCCCCATTCCGGGGAAGAGGGGCCGGGGTGTCCAGGCCGCACTCCAGCCAGCAGACTGGAGTTAAAGGAGGCGGCAGGGTGGGGTGCACTGTCCTGGGGAACCCTTGGTTAATTACCAGGCAGGGAACATTCCGGACTGGACCGCCCCACCAGCCCCTAGCGCCGCGAAGATTTTGTGCAGAAGGAGGTAAAATTCGGTGGAGAGGTCCCCCATCCAGGCTGTCCTGGCGTCTGCGGCCTCCCTCCCCCAACCTGGGCCCTGCCATCGCAGAGTCTCTCCCCGAAAAGCACAACCATGAATTTTGTCCACAATTTCTGGGGACCCTGGCCAGATGGGAAGATCTAACCTTCCAGGCCCGAGGATGTACCAAAAAGGTGTCCTTCCTGGGTCTGCCCGTGGCTGGGCTCCCGGCCCTCACCCTCTATTGCCACCAAACCCACTTTTCTAAGAGAAGTCGCCTCACCCCAAACTGAGCTACTAGCCCCCCAACCCCCGCAGGCCTGTGATACTGGGCCACTCAGAGCAGACCCATCAGGCATAGGCGCTCCTGGGGGCTCCCCAAATTCAGAGACTCCAGAACAGCGGGGGTGGTTTGGGAAGTGGAGGATGGTGAGCAAGTGCTGAAATGCTCGGAGTCTCCCAAAGCGTGGGCAGGGAGCTGGGAATGGGTCTCCCAAGAGCAAGTACAAGGAAAGGAGGAGAGAAAGAGGGAAGGAGGAGGAGGAGGGGTGACCAAGAGGAAAGTTCACCCAGCACTGAGCCCGGTAACATCAGCCACAGGACTGCTCTTTGCAAACTCCCGCTACTCGCCCATAAGGCCCCCAAAGCTGAGAGCTGAGACCTGGGTTGGCACAGTCCTTGAGCCCCCAGCTGCCACTAAACGCAGGTGTGCCTGGGGGCTGGAGAGTGGGCCTGAGTCCTGCCCGGAGCAACTGCCTGCATCCGGGCTACCAGTGCCAGACGCTGTGTGCACAGACAGACCCGCGGCCACAGAACCCCAGTAAGTACACTGGAAGCTGGAGAGCAGGCTTCGGGAAGAATCCTGATCCCTCCATCCCCACCGCCAGCCAGCGCACCGCCCTCCTGTGCCCGAGTTCCTGCTGGTGCCAAGTACCCCAGGCCCGTGGGGCAGGGTGCATGTGGATTTGTAAGCGTCCAACTTGGTCTGATGGTGGAAATGTGTGAGCCAGGGGATCTCTCCAGGTGTGTCTGTCAGTTCGTGTATCTGGGGTGGAGTATCCTGTGTGCCGTCATGCGTCCCCGAGGTCTCTGAACTCCAGTGTGTATGCAAGGGAGTGTGTCCTGTGCGGGTGTGTGGTGAGCTGGTCTGGTGTGTCGATCTGTACGTACTGCTGGACGGTTGCATGAACCGTGTGCCCGATTTTGCATCCAGGAAGTGTCTGTGGGCGAGTGTGTGTGTATTGATGTGTGTCTGTTAAAGTGTGTCCCTTATTGTCCTGCGCGATAGAAGGGGGGGGGGTGAGGGCGGGGAGTCCCTGGTGCAGCCAAGAGCTGGGGTATCGGCCCTGAGCTCAGCCTCTTACCTCCATAGTAGGTGTATGGTGTGGACCCCAACATTTCAGACTCGTCCAAGCGGCCCCCCAGGGGACGCATGCGCCTCGGACTCCGAAAGAAGGCGTGTCTCCGGGCGCCCAGTGCGCTTAGCTGTTTCATCCTGCGTTCTTTGGACCGCCGGTTCTGGAACCACACCTGGGACAGTGGAGGGGGCAGTGAGCTCGGTGGAAGGCATCCTCTCCCGGCCCCGGACGCCCCTGCGGGGTCCTAGCGCCTCCTGCCTCCAAGACTACCCTGAGGCGAGGGGGAGGGCGCGCGGATTAGGCCGGAGGGGTGGAGAGGGGCCTCGGCGAACCAGCCAAGGGTGAAGGATTTGGCGGACCCTTGGGGCGACTCATAAAGACTCGGGCTTCCCGTCCTCGCCCGCCCGCGGCCTGACGGCTTTATAAAGGCCTCCTGCCCGCCCGACCAGGCTCTGGTCTGGGCCCCTCGGCTTCCCAGCCGGACTCTGGCCATCGGTCTGTCTGCCCGCCCGGCCTTGGCGCAGGGAGTAGGCCCGTGAGGAAGGTCGCCTCGGGGGACGAGAGGAAGGGAGGGGTCTGTCCCCAGCAAGGCTTAGCACCCTCCCTGGACGGGCAGGGGCGGGGCTCAGAGGGGAGGTGACCAGTGACTTGGGCAGCGGGTTTGACCCGCGGGCCCGGCCCGGAGCGCACCGCGGGCCGCGGGACCGGAACTCGGCGCGGAGCGGGCGCGAGGCTCCTCCGAACCTCCCAGCTCCAGGGCTGGGCTCGGGGAGGTGGAGGTGTCCGGGCCGGGCCGCACCTGGATGACTCGCATGTTGAGGCCGGTCTCCTGCGCCAGCTGCTCCCGGATGTGGCGCGTGGGCTTGGGCGTGGCGGCGAAGGCGGCCTTGAGCGTCTCCAGCTGCTTGGCTTTGATGGTGGTGCGCGGGCCGCGCCGCTTCGTGCCCGAGTTCTGCTCCTCGTTCTCGTTGTTGGCCGTCTCCTTGTCCGACGACGTCGAGTTGTCCGTCTCCTTGGGGTCGTCCTGGAGCGGGTCCTGGAGGTCCGGGGACAAACTGCGGTCCGTACAGGATGACACTGCGGCGGAGGGAGTGCGAAGGGGACAGCAGCGTGAGCGGCAGCGACAGTCCCTCCCCCAGGCCCGGGCCCGCCCACCCGTCCAGATGGGGCTGGGCCTTCCGAGGGCCCCTCTCCAGCCTTCTCAGCACTTTTCGCCTATTGCTGGGCGAGGGGGACGCGCGCCCTCTGGAGAGGGGCCTGGAGGAGGGTCCAGGTGCGCTCGGGGCCTCAGATCTCAGCTCCCCGCTCCCTCCTCTCCTTCCCATTAGAGTCCTCCCAGCGCAGGGAGAAAAGACCAGGAGCTCAAAGGAAGCGGAAGGGAATCGCGCAGTTCCAAATGGGCAAGGCGGCGCCTGGGAAAAGGCTCCCGAATCGGAGGGCAGGGGAAGGGCTGGTCTGGTGTCCAGTCAGCCTGGATCCCACGCCCTTCCCGGCGCCCAGCCCG